TAATTTTAATTTCAAAGTAAAATATCCCACACTCCAAAGGAATTGGATTATTTGCTCGAATTATAATAGCTTTATTTTCATCAGGATCTTTAAAAGTTTTTAATAAATTAGTTGAACTATCAACGATTAACGCTCATCAATTCAGAATTTTAATATGTTTTGGTGCATAACTATTATTCATCTTACCTGTATAACTCACTTTAGATCCACTTGAATCTATGTTAATAAGTGGCGATTTATTTCCAATCTCCCAAGCATTCGGTAAAACAATATCATCGTATGGTGTTGGCAATTCTAAATCTTCCATTGAATTAAATTCCGGTGATTTTTTAATAAATTCGACGAAAGCTAACGCTAACGACATTTGATAGAAATGTTGGTTTTGTACATAGTACGGTAGTACTGTACAAGCACATTAGCTCTATAAATGGAATATCGGTACCAAGAACGGAGTATGAAATACGAAGTGTTCCAAGGGAGACCGTCCCAAATATGGAAATAACCCGATATAGTTACACACAAATATCAGTAGAGAAATATATATAATTAAAAATTGTTATGCAATGATGTTTATTTAATCGAAATTAATATACCGTAAATTTTTCTAAGGGAAAATTCTCTAATTTGAATGATGCAGCCTTCAGAGAAAAAAATTAGAAAAGATAAACGAATAAAAATAATGCATTTTAACTATAATTTTTATTATTTACCAATTTATTGTTGCTTTCAAGACTGTTTTTATCATCATATTGAACGTAAACCCAAGAAAATTCATAGAGGCTTAATAAGTTAATACAATTAACTAGTGAAGATGGCACATATTCTTTTTGAGTTCTAACTTGACAGATCCCTATAATAAATTCAATCATTTCACATTCTAACTGCTCTTTATCTTCAATAGTTTCAATACTATAGTTATAACCAACATCAGTATGCCAATTTTCTAGGATCGTAAACCATTTAATAGTTGCCTTATGAGTATTTTCTGGAATTATTCCCCTAATAATTTCATCAATTTCAGCACTACTTGGTTTAAAATACTTTTTCTTAGACGCTTTCACTTTTAAAAAATGCAAACAATAGTCCACCAATTGATTCATGATTCTCGTTACCAAATCCTTTGAATGAATCAATGTTTTGGTAAAATGACAAATCAGCCTCATTATTAAAAGGAATATTGGAAATTTGAAGAACTGGTAATATTGGTGGATCACGCATTTGTAAGAAATTCAAGATCATGCATGTCCAGGCAGTGATGTACATGGACAGTCTTTGGACAAGATTTTGGACATTTTGGACAAAAAAATAAAGTGAATTTACTCAAAAATTTATTAAGATAACCTATTTAAATCTTTTAAGTAAAAATGTTTAGAATTAAATAAAGAATATAATCATATGATTTTCATTTCTATAACTAAAATATTTAAGGCTATGGACAGGCTTGGACACTTTGGACACTTGGACGTTTGAACGTTGGACATGTCCAAAAAAGCTTTGGACATGCCAAAATGTACAACACTGCGTTCAGGTATATGAAGATAAGGTTCCACGAGCACTCATAAATTTGCTATGATTTTGCTATTAAAAAAACTCTTCAGTATAAAAATCTAGATATATTGTATCTATTTTATAAAGCAAATACAAGTATAAAAACGAAATATTATAATAAAAAATTTGTTATATATGCGGAGTAAAAATTTTAGATAATAAAAAAAGAAAATCAAAAAAATATAATGAAAAAAAAACTTTCGAAATAAGAAAAAAAAATTCAATTTAGCTTGATACCACAAGGTTTTCAGAAAGATTTGACAAATCAACTCATATTAATTTTAATATTTACGAGGACTTCGATTTGAACTTGAATCTTTTTAGCTAATATCATATTGCCAGCCTTTCTTGAATTACAAATGCAAAAATAGAATTAAAAAAAATTATTTGACAAAATGAAAAAATAAAAATATGCCACGCAGTAATTTGCTAACACTGATACAATACTTAAATAGTGGGTTACGCGTCAGTTGTAGAGGTTACGGAATCGGAGTCGGGATGATCCCAATTGCCACAGCCGCCGCACCTTTTCGTAGTAGGGTACGCTTCACCATTAGGTACTATGGCAAAAAATAAAATAGCAGCAAATACAAAAATAAATCGGTTCATAGTGTTTCTGAAGATAATTCGTATTAGAGAGATATTATTTTAGTAATTTTAATTTTTAGTTTTTAGTTGTTTTTCTGTGTTCTTCATGGTCACCACCTTTTTTATAAAAAAAAAAAATCGTGCGTGATCTTCTTATTTCAATCTCATTTAGTTTTTTTTTCAACATTTTTATGTGTCGTATTTGGAACTTTGATGATCGATGATCAAAAAATGTTTCTAGCCTTTTTTTGGTCTGATTTTATCCATATAATTATGTCGCTTACCACCATCCCCTTTGCTATGATTAAATTAAATTTAAAAAACCATTTTAAATGGGAATTTCCCATTATTATAATAACCAAATAATATATTACCAAGTGATGTACAAATTAATGCTACATTTTTCTTATTAAAAGATTATTTATGGAAATTTATGTCATCAAGTAAAATTTTGTACCATCGCGACTTGTGATTTGGAATATCGTATTTTCCCTAATTATATCATACATATTTTTTGTACAATTTCGACGCTAGAAGGATTTGAAATATAAAATCCTTAAATTTGATTTATATTAGTCATTAAATATGCTGATTCTTAAAAGATAAATAGATCTAGATCTTACAAACTTGTTATGTTACAAAAATATACCGATACATGAATTTGATTAATTAATTATTACCCCAAAAAAAACAAATAATCAAACTTTATTTTTTTATATTGTAGTAATTTAACGATTTAAACAAATCTAGATCATAATTAACCTTAACCTTAATTTTTGTTACAAAAGCATATACTTATGAATATGACCATAATAAGTCATTAAATATAGTTACAGGTTTTCACTCTTACGCACTCATATATAATACATCGAAAATCAAGTTTTAGATAAATTATTAAAAAAATGCCTAAAGAATTAAGAGGAATTTGTTTGATGCTATTGATTATCTCTCCATTTCTTTGCCCATCACTTGGTAACCTTTTGAATACTTAAAACTAATTTACAAGAAAATTACGCATCTAAATTTATCTTTTTTTAGTACTGGCAAAAGTATGCGTAAGTAGATTTAATTGTAACCCAAAATTCGTACTATATAAATAATAAAATTAAAATATTCGCTTAACAAGTAAAATATTAACCATTTGGCAAGCTAAAAGGCAATTAATTAAATTGTTGTCAATTATTAACGTTAAGAATTAAATTTTTTTTTAATTGGTAATAAAAAAAACTCAATTTAATAATTTTAACAATTATTATATAAGTTAAATCGAAACAATTTGATTCTATTAATTATATAGCATTATATTTTACTCAAATGCCTTAATCAGCCGTGTTTTGAGTTTATCCATCCATATTGTTATCGCATTAGAATTTTTGTATTAATTAGATAACTTTATCATACGTTATTAATATTGTTGTAATGATAATACATTTTAACATTTTGGTTTATTTTTATAACGATAATATATTAATTTTGTAATAAAAAGGTCATGTCGTATCAATTGTGATTACATTAGGTATAATTGTAATAGTAAAAATTTGTTCGTATTATATACCTTCCATGAATAATACACTAAATTTTATTTCTAACTTATTGTAAATTGTCATTGCACACAACAAGAGCCAGTTCTTAACATATCATCAAAAAGTGAAGAATAGCCAGGTAATGGCGACAAGGTTAGATTACATTGAAACCGGGCAATTCGGCGAGTCAGTCGCTTGATAATCCAAATACTTGCGTAACCTACGGTTGGCTTAGTCGAAAAGAGGCGTTTATATTTGGTCGGTGGTTTGGGTTCCGTAGGTAGGTATTCTTCTTTAAATCGTCTTGTTCTAATATTATCTTTACTCTTTATAACCTCAATTACTACACTACTTCGGGTAATTGAATAACGATAACCACAACTATCCTCAATACGTCGGGATAGCTGGACAAATAAACCACAACGGTCCTCACTACTTCGGGACGGTTGGACAAGAATAAACCACGGCTGATCCTGGTACGTTAGGATACAACAGCCGGACGGGTTACAATAATTTAACGAGGGTCACGTGAACAAGGGTTTATCGAAGAGGGATGACTTAGTAACTTTTAGCGAGAGTTTGGTTAGGGTAGTTTAGCGAAGTTAGATTTATTGGGGGTTTTATTATTTGGTAAAGTCGGGAGTTCTTTTTTTTAAAGCATAAGAGACCTTTCGTCTCAGAGGGCCAAAACGGCCTTTATTTATAATAAAAGTCTAGTATATACATTCAGTAAACTATTCTGCCAATTACAACCGTAATGCCTGATCTGACCTACAGTGGCGGCCAAAGATATTGCATCACTTGAAAAAAAATTTTGAATCCATATATCTCCCCAAAGTTGAGTTATTCTGGGGTGAATTTTTTTTATTTGAAGAGTGATTATCGCTGAAATTATATCTCAATTGAATCACATGACCTTGCCCTACTCAGTGATTTGTCCGTAAACCC